GTAGAAACAGCTGTCAGGGGCAATCAGGAGGCTTCCGAAGAGCTATGGTGTCACGCTTCTTGCATGTCCTCACTTTCCATGAAAATCTAAAGGTAGAATTCATTGTATTGACCCTTCAGAGGACTCTAAACTTCAGAATAAAAGGGAGCTCCATTTTAGATTCCACTGCCTTTTTAAAAGAGGGAAGAATTCACACAAATTTCCCCCACATTCCTAATTTATTAGTGTTTATGTCTTTGTAAATTCTTTCTACAATGTTTAGGGTTAATGATCTCTTTTCATGGTAGATAGGCAAGTAGAGTAAAATCTCCAGATTGTTTAAATAGCCTCACTTCTATTGTGTTATTTTGTATGTATTATGGGATTTCTTGCTAACTTGCTGTAAATTATGTTGAATCAAAGTCTATCACATAGTATCTTTTGAAATTTGCTATCGTCTGAAATAGCTACAAATATTTTAGCTCATGTTATAAAAATATATATGCCTAGCAAGAGATATTATAATTAAGACAATTGAAGTAAAGAATAGAGCAGATTCTGCTATTAACATAGTAAAATTAGGGGCTGGGTTGTGGTGTAGCAGCTAAAGCTGACACCCAACAACATCATATATGGATGCCAGTTCAAGTCCTGGCTTCTCCACTTCTAATTCAGCTCTCTGCCAGTTATCTAGGAAAGCAGTGCAAGATAGCCCCTGTACTCATGTGGGAGACCCAGATAAAGCTCCTGGCTTTGACCTGTCCTTGCACTGGCACTGGCTATTATGGCCCTCTGGGGATCTGTGGCCATTCTCTCTCCCTCTCTTTCTTTTTGTCTGTGTGTGTGTGTCCCTCTCTCTCTCTCTAACTCTGGCTTATAAGTAAATATTTTAAAAAACAGTAAAATTAATGGGATGTCTAAAGTATTTTTCTTGATTATGATTTAAAATAGTTGTATTCATATGAAGCTAGAGTATGTATGCATTTCTAAACCAATCAATAAGTTAAAAGGATATGAGAGTAAGATAATATATTGGAAAAGAATGCCTCAGGTGTGCAAAAATGTTACAAGTAGCTATCCTGCTAAAGCAAGGCTCATGGGTACAACTCTTGTCTTTACCACTGTGGAGTCATCTTGCCCTAAAGGGAATATACAGCTATGCAGTTGTGCTGCCTCACCACTCAAAACAGAGTGAGGTTTGCTCTCAATAAGCCCTTAGACATGAAACCTTTACCTGAAGAATGCATGCTAAGTGTATTATCATATTTTAAGTTCATCAACAGCAGTTTATGGTTGTAACAAGCAATTGTAGTTCCTGCACTATAGACTGAATGGGTACTGAGGTTAGCAAAAGCTATGGAAAAAAAAAAAAACTGAAAATTTGTTCATAAAATAGCTTGTGCTGTAATTTTGGTCTTTTATTCTTTGCCTCTTCATCTAAAAAGTGACCTGGAGTATGTGCCGCACACTTCCTGGGCAGTGCAAAATTTACTGGGACATCAATTTCTAATGCATCTCGCCTAAGTAATTTTGTGTAATTACATTGTCATGCTGTTCCCCTGTTAAAACTCTATTTGTTGCCTTAAAGATTTGTTGTCAAAAACTTTTTTTTAATATTTAAGAACCTGTGTTTTAAAACGAGGCAAGTTTGACTTAATAACATTGATGTTTTCTAGCTAAAGAAATTTCAGGAAATGAGTTAATTCTTAAAATTTTGATTTCAGATTCTGTAAAAATGTGGATGCTATTCACACCAGCTCCTAGATTTTTCCTAAGTATAATTTTATATGTAGCAAAACACTTAAATTGATAGCTAACAATGCTTATTTTCACTATTATTAAAGTACAAGCAAAATTGTCAATGTATGCCATTATTAATAGACCTGGTTATTTACAAATGGTGAAAAGTTTCTCGAATAAATGTGCAATGTGTCTCTCTTTTACACTTTTTCAGTAGCTGAACTGAAAACCACTAGGTGAAATTAGTAGTTCATATTCGCATATTATCTCACAACTGACAGTTCCATAATTTCTTGGGATTTTTCAAGTGCTCTGTATTTCCAAAATCTTGAAATACATGAAGACTTTTTAATAGATTGATTTATTTATTTGAAAGGCAGTGTGGCAGAGAGAGAGAGAGAGAGAGAGAGAGAGAGAGAGGTTTTCCATCCACTGGTTCACTCCCCAGATGGCCCCAATGGCCAGAGCTGTGTTGATCCAAAGCCAGGAGCCAGGAGCTTCTTTGTCTCCCACCTGGGTGCAGGGGCCCAAGGACTTGTCTATCTTCTACTGCTTTCCCAGGCCATAGCACAGAGCTGGATCGGAAGTGGAGCAGCTGGGACTCAAACCGGCGCCCATAAAGGCAGAGGCTTTACCCGCTACACCAAAGCACTGGCCCTAGTGAAGACTTTAAATACAAATTTTAATGTCTGGGAATACATGACACATGATAATTCATTCACTTATTCATGCATCCAGTCAAACACTGAGTAATACCTCTAAGGGCCAGGTTCCATTCATGGTGTTCTGACAGAGTCGTTTTGTGAAGCTTGTATTCTTTTGGAGGAGACAAATAGAAAACAAATAAACGTATAACACATACCCTATGCTTTCAGGTAGGATTACTGAAGAAAAATAATTTACAAGGGATTGTTATAGAGCATGGGGAAAGGGAGGATACATTTATTATCTAAAAATCTTGGAGACGAGTGTATCAGGCATAAAGCAAAGACAGTGGAGCCCAAAGAAAGACAATGTGTGAGGAAAGAATAAATAAGGGGATGAAGTTAGATAGGTAAGCAAAAATCAGCTATTTTTAGGATATCACAGCCCATAAGGAGCTTGACTATTTTTGTGTATGAATGAAATCCCTGGAGGCTTTTAGCCAAAGTTTACATAGTGGTTTATATTTTAAACAATAACTCCAACAAAAGGGATACAGAGAGCCAATTAAAAGTCCACTGCTAGACATAACTGTCTGACAGAGATGCATTCATTGAGGTATCAACAAGATATGGTGATGATTTGGTTACAGGACTCTAGACAAAAAGAGAGGATCCATGCTATCATCCTTAGGGTTTGATTTCAAATTCACTTTGGTAGAAGATGGGGGCATTTCTCTCGAATAGAGGAGGTAAAAATTTGGAAAAGGAAATTAGGACTTTGGCTTTAAATATGGCTAGTTAAAATAGTATGTCTAGTTGACAGTTGTATGAACAAGTTTGGACTTTAAGGGTCGAGAAGTTTTGCCATAAATGAAAATTTGGGGAGTTATGAACAAATTCAAAGTATTTAAAAGTATGGGATGGGAAGATGTTCTAGAAGCCTACAGTAAACATGCTAGAGATACCTATGAAAGAGCCATGGCAAACTCTTACATTTGATAGCCAAGATGACTGGGAGAAAGCAAACAGTCTGAGATACAGCAGCCAGCAAGGTAGAAGAGTGGAAAAAAGTTAAATAAAGAATATACTCTGGTAGATGGGGTTTTGTGTAATGTCTGAAAGAATTGCACTTACAGATATTAATCAGGAAATTATACCAGCCATAGAGACTAGCATATTTATCCTGTAGCCCAACTGTGATTCAGGAGCCAACATGAACAAAAAATTCTGTTCAAGGACTGTCCTAAAGAAGATTAGTGCAAATAACAATGTTCTCCTAGCCATCATAGCATCCAAGTATCACTAAGTATGACAATTGCTGGCCCATGGAATAATATTCTTGTTGTTTCTATATCAAAATAATACAAAATCAAAAGCTGTTTTTATATTAGTATTTTCTGTAAAGGATTTAGTGGTATAATATCTGTGTCTGTAATGAGCATCTACTGCATTCTAGTTCTGTGTCTGAGTTGTTTGCTTGACTTCTAGGCATCAAGAAACTTAAAAGCCCTAAGCACTGAAAAGATTATGTGACTTACCTCATTGTCACCCTGTAGAATTCAAAATTTAACCAACTTAAACCTCAGTGTGTATGGGGGGGGGGGGGTCCTGGTAGATAAGATGCCAGTGAGAACATTTGTATCCCATAGGAACTAACTTTACTATCTGGCTCTAACGTGACTGCAACTTGGTGCTAATGCAGACAGACCCTGGAAGGCAGTGGTCAGGGCTCAGGTAATTGGGCTGCAGTCTCAATTAGAGGCTATTGAAGGCATTTGCATAATGAGTGAGAAGATGGGAATGGAGTGTTCTGCCTCTTTTTCTCTCTCCTCATACAAATGAGTTTTAAATATAAGTAAATGACCTGATATAAGTGAGAAGCTCCAACAACATATGGAGAAGCTTCATTATATTCACATTGATACTTTAAAAATCATTCAATATTACTTTTTCTCTTTTAAAATAAATGTTTTTTTTTTTTTTGGTTTATTCTCCATCTCTTCAAGTTCATTGGAAATACAAAAGGTGAAAGAGTACACATGTACATATTTAGTATGATTCTTGCAAAACCCAACAGTCAACAAGTGTTAGCTGTCATTATTTTACTATTATTATCATCTCTATTCTAAAGAGTTGTTGTGATGAGTAATGTAAGTGATTTAGTGTGATAATTGCCACACAATAGAGGGTAAATAATTTTCATTTCCTTCTCTTCCATACTCGTTCCTAGATTTTGTCATAATCACCCACACTATCATTTTCTGTATGTCACATATTTCAAATAAGTGTGATATTAAAAGGAAAAATCTTATGACTGTTTCAGAAGATAAAATATTAAGGAGACACTGGGTGTTTGGGGAAGCAGCTGCAATTCATATAATTAAAGTAAAAGAGAAGTCACCCAAGGCAACTGTCAAATTTTTCGCTCTCATAAATCATTTAAAAATAACCTGTAGTCACTTCATTGGTTCAGATTGAGTTATACTGAAGAAATATACTGCTACATTTCAACCCTGAAATTGTGAAATCTTGAAATATGGTTCTTTGCTTCTAAAAAGCCATTCATTTAAAAAATCCTTGTTACATTATCACTACATTTTGTTTTCATTTTGTGACAGTAAATTAATTTATTTTTAGGGGTTACCTGCAAGTCGAGTGAGGTATAGAGTAGATGACGTCCAGTTCCCTTACCCAGCTAGTATTTTTGATGTGGAAGAAAATTCTGGAAGAGTAATAACTCGAGTCAATCTTAACGAGGAACCAACCACAATTTTTAAGGTCAGTGTGCCATTTACTTTATATTGTATATTTGATTTGATGTTTCAATATTTATAGAGTTTGACATAACAGGTAATAGTGTTTCCTTTTACTTTTTTTTTTGCCTTTTTGGCTTTTTTAATATTAAAATGGTTTTCTTTGGTGAAGCAACATTAAACTAAAAGATAAAATGATATAACATATTGGTGATAACTAGAATTTACTATTTTTACCTCTATGATAACATGCCTTACAAGTATTAAGTATAAAACTAATGTTTTAAAACAATTTAATCAATTAACGCTGATTTTTAAACTCAGTAACATTTCCCATGGCAATAAATAATATTAATATTATTTTATTCACTCCATGATGCTCTACAGGATGAGTGCATGATATGTTTTCCTTTTTTTAAAAAAAAAATTATTTATTTATTTGAAAGAGTTACACAAAGAGAGAGGTGAGGCACAAAGAGAGAGAAAGAGAGAGGTCTTCCATACACTGGTTCATTCCCCAATTGGCCACAATGGCTGGAGCTGTGCCGATCCGAATCCAGGAGCCAGGAGCTTCTTCCGAGTCTCCCACGTGGGTGCAGGGACCCAAGGACTTGGGCCATCTTCTACTGCTTTCCCAGGCCATAGCAGAGAGCTGGATTGGAAGTGGAGAAGCCAGGTCTTGAACTGGTGCCCATATAGGATGCTGGCGCTTCAGGCCAGGGCTTTAACCTGCTGTACCACAGCACTGGACACACATTTTCCTTTTAATCTAATAACTTGTTCTTGGTGTTGTGTCTGGATTTTTTTTTTTTTTTTTTTTTTTACTATCAGCTCTGTATTCTGAAACAGCTTGTATGAGTATCACCTGCCATTTCCTGATTTTTCCCCCCTTAAGTACCAGAAACAGAAGCTACTGAATCAAGTATATATCAAGTCTGTGCTTCTAGAAAATTTGTGGAAAAAATTAATCCTATGGCAGATTCTCAATCATACTCCAGAAGAGTACCCATTTTCCAAATAAGCACTGCATCTTATTATTTTCAGTCATTGTTTATCTTCTGTATCCAAAATATATAAAATATCTACAACTATGTGATGTATGTGAAGATTCACTGCAGTTGTCAGTGGAAGAGACTATGGGATCTATTTGGGTTTTCACTTTTTTCCAAATTGTCTTAAAAATGCACATGTCAAAAATATTGAGGATTAGTATTATCTTAGCTAATCCATTTCATTAAATGTTTGAACACTTCCATTTTTTGCAATTATTTTCAGTTATTTTTGCACTGTGAATAAAGCCTTTATTCTACACTAGGGAAATATCTTTGTCACTTAACCTTGTGATAATCAATGAGCACCATGTCTCACTTGATTTTATCACTGTTTAAAATAATCATTCTGCTTGTAAATTAGTATAATCCCAAAGGTAAATGTGACTCTCAGAATAATCCTTGCTAATGGTCTTTCATGATCTAGGTTAAATTATTGTAAATTCTGGACCTGAAGCTTCAAAAATATTGTACATTCTGGAGAAACAAATAGTTTTAAAACATTAATATGCCTTAAAATACGCATTGGAATTATTGGTGTAGTTTTGGTTGTTAAATAAAATGATCAATTATAAAATATATTGTCATAAAAATAATATACAAGTATCACATCTTAAGACTAAAGATTTTATTGTTTTCATTCTATGTAAAATTTCTATTATACCATATTATATAGGTTTTATATAATTTAATTGTTTTTTTAAAAATGTATGCCAAAGTGTGTTAAACTATAACATTTCCAATTTTATCCTCCAGAGTCAAGTATTTCCCCCTTATAATCTTGCAAACAATTAATTCACAGGAAAAATTAATTTTCTTTTATAAGCAAGCTAATTAGCTTTTTGCTATTGATGTGACTGAATTTAACACTTTTTAAATAAGTGTGCTGATGCTGTAAAGCAGATGCTTCTACTGTAGGCACCAGTGGAATTAGAAAACTTTTTAATTGGAGTGATGTAGTATCATATATCTCTCTTACTGGAAGGTTTTTTAAGCCATAGAATTGGTAACTTCCTTAAACTTTCACACATTACAAATGAAAATCGCAAGAACTACAAGGCTGGATTATTGTGAAGCTTAATGAGGATGCAGCCTTTGCTAACACAAAGTCTGCTGCTTGGGAGGCCGTGAGGGGATGAGTATTGTTCCCCTTTCTAATGAAGAACATATGTATAAAAATGATGCTTCTGTTTTCTTCTTGCTTATGCTTTTAACATGAATTTCCATTACTTTTTAAGTTGGTGGTTGTCGCATTTGATGATGGTGAGCCTGTGATGTCCAGCAGTGCCACAGTGAAAATTCTTGTCTTACATCCTGGGGAGATCCCACGCTTCACACAAGAGGAATATAGGTATTAAATCCCATCTGATTTTCAATACATCAAGTAGTTATTGTGTGTATATATTTTTTTCTTTTAGGGAGTGCTCAAAATTAATGTAATATGAATCTATCAATTAACTGAGCATCCAAATTCTAGCTTAAGTTTCAAATATACTGTCATGTTTAATTCAACATTTAATACAGTTAAAATGATAATTTATTATAAAATAGTTTTATTAATGATTTGTTATTGGGTCTTTTAATATTCTATCAAGCTTTGGAAAATACACATTATATTTTGGGTTTATATTTTAACTAAAGAATGATCTCAGTGACAAGAAGGAGACTCTTAGCTTCTCTTTACTTGCTGGATAGAGTATATGAGGGTATTCTTGGAAAATGGAGTAAAAAATATATTTGTTTTGGTACATAAGATTTTGAAATTCATGCATTCATTTCTTAAATATTTTCCATAAGTTTTTTGAGGCTCCTCTTCAATGCATTAGTTTCATTTTTTTTGTTCCTAAATAAAATTATCTTTCAATTATGTTTTCCATGAACTCTGGAAGTACCATTGTGTCATCCAGTTTTTGTCTCTAGCCACCAATTGCATTTTGTATCTATTAATGTAAATATTTGTAGATATCACTAGGTATGTAATATAATATTTGTAGATATTACTATATAATATAGATATTTTAATGTAGATATTAATAGATATTTTTGTATTAATGTAGCTATATAGGTCAATCATTCTATTAATAGATAACAGACTAACACTGTGGTACAAATATTTAGCTATATATATTAAAAATATACATATACATACATATATTTACATAACTCTTTATATATGTACATATAGATACTGATAAGGTTTTAGTCACCCAGTCAGCTCAGATGACCATAAAAAAATGTGTGGCTTAAACAACAGAAATTTATTTTCTCACTCTTCTGTGAATTGACCATCCAAGGTCTATGATCACCAGGCCAGCATGGTCAACTGCAGACTCTTTTCCTGTCTTACAGACAGCTGCCTTCCCACTGTATCTTTCCATGGCAGAGGGAAAGCAAGTATTCAGCATGTCTTCTTGCAATGACACATCCCCTGTTGACATCTCCACCCTCATTACATTGATAAACCAAATTACCTGCCAAAGACCTCATCTCCAAATATCAATCAATTGGGAACAATTAGGGCAAAAAACTAATTAGAGTCAAAGGGATCACACAAACAAGACTAGTGTCTGCTAATACTAACTGATAGAATCAAAAAGGGAGAGAACGATCCATCATGGGAAGTGGGATACACAGCAGACTCATAGAATGGCAGATGTCCTAAGTAGCACTCTGGCCTCAGAATCAGCCCTTAAGTATTCTGCTTTTAAAAATTTTCCCTGAATGTGTGCCCTGTGATGTTTCCAAATGGCAACATGGGGGTGGTGGAGGTACAGATTCAACTGTGACACCCATGGCCCACACCCCTGTACTTGGTATGAGTCTCAACTACTCAGCTTCCAATCCAGTTTCCTGCCAAGGCACACCCTGGGAGGCAGCAGGTGATTTCTCAAATACTTGGATCTTTGCCACCCACCTGGTAGACCTGAATAGAGTTCCAGACTCCTAGCTGTAGTCTGGCCCAGACATAGCCATTTTAGTCATTTGAGGAGTGAACCAGCAGTTGGAAGATTGGAAGATATTTTCCCAGCGTCCTCCCAAAGTAAATAAAAATTAAAAAAAAAAAAAAAAGATCGAACTGTATGTGAACTAACTTGATATGTTTCTCACTAACTTATCTAGATCATTTAGGCTCTGTTTGAGGTGGATCCAAAAACTCCTCACAGTTTCAGCTCAGCTGAATACCCACCTTTTTTTCTTAAAAATGCTGACCCCAACTGTACTCATTCTTGGATGCCAAAAGAGAAGTTAAAAAAAAAAAATTGAAGAGTCGGTAATATTTTTCCCATGAATGAACTCCGTGTGTGGTGTACTGTTTCTCTGGGCTCATTTGGAGCTCATTTCTGTATTAATAAAAATATGCCTGCAGACTTCTCAAAGTATCTCTTTGCTCATTATCTCTTTTAGTTAAAATATTGTGGCATTGAGGCCAAGGTCACAGGTTCAGTCATGGCATTGCTCATTTGGGTGTCTTTTAAGTGCTCTTGTTTAATGCCACCTTTAAAAAATACAAATGTTTTGTTGAATGAATAATTTACATCTCATACCATCTCTGCATAAAACTACTAACTACAAATGAATCTATTAATAAAGTTGTTAACAGAGAGAACAAAACACTAGCTAATTACTTGGTGCTGAAATTATCAGCAGTCATAGGAGAACATGTGAGAAAATTTTGACCTTCCAGACTTTTTTAACAGTTGCAAAATTGCCCTTGGTTATTGTAGTTCTTTGCTACTCTACTTATAAAGGCAAGGTAATCCGTTTTGCCTCCTACTGTTCATAGCTAGTATTCTATCTAAGAATCAATATCATTTTCATCACAGATTAAGTCTAATTGAGCATTGAAAAGGATCCTTTCATTGTCTGTGGGACACCCAGAAAACCTGAATAATAAAGATAAGGCTGCCAGAATTTAGCTTAGCCATTAAAATTCCCCTATCCACATTGGGATGCTTGGGTTTGAATGAAGCTCTGGTTCCTGGTTCTAGCTTCTTGTTACTGTAGAAATTGGGAGACAGCAAGTAAGGCTGGAATAGTTAGCTCCCTGCTGCTCACATAGAAGACCCAGAATGAGTTCCACACCATGATTTTAGCCTGGCCCAGGCACAGCCCCAGCTATTGGTGATTTTTTGAGAATGAACTGTCGATAAAGCTCTCTTTCTTTTTGTCTGCCTAGCAAAAAACAATAAAGTATCATAACAAATATGTATAGAATACTCTACTTCTTTAGTAAATGCAAAAAATGAATTAAAATATTGATATAGGCTTAAATTTGAATCATAACATCAAATAAACTATAGAAGACTTCATACTGATGCTTATCTTCATTTAATTCTCCATTCTTTGGAGTATTTGGAGGGTGTACATGGCAGTGTGTCTGGATGCCTACAAAATCCTTTCCTCTTTCTCATGGTCATAGAAGCAAACTAAATTCCCCAGCTTCATTTACCAGGTGGAGCCATATGACCAAGTTCCAGAGAGTATAATACGGAAATTGGTGGTCTGCAACATTTTCTAGCTTGGCTTAACCCTTCTCCTTTATGGGTGGCTGAAATGGAGAAAGTTGGGCAACTGTAATAACTGTATATTAACAACTATAAATATACAGGATCAAAGCAGCCTAAACCCCTGAATCCTAGTTTAGAGAAGAGCTACCTAAATGGGAATACTCTTTAGCAACTGTTATGTAAGCAAGAAATTTAGGTGTTTGTCTATTGTATTAGGTACTATTGTTTAAAGAAGTATAAGTTGTTTAACATTTTAGTAGCGTGAAGTCATTAATTGCATGATATATTTATCACTGAAGTTTTTTTTGTAATTTATGTTGCAATGTTTTCCCATTTTTCATTTTTATAACTTTATTTGTGGCGGAATAATTTTCATTCTTGTGTAGTGTTTTCTTTTCATATGTTCAGTCATTAACATTGGCAATGTGAACTATGCCATTTAAGATTGCTGTGAAGGCCAGCCATGTATTCTATTCTTCCCTAACAGGAAAAAACAAGGCATAGAATAATTTCTGAAATCTCTTGCTTCTCTAAGTTTTTCAGATTCCCCATACGGCCTCAGGCAGATGTACATAATTGCCAGAGATACTGAACAATGTTATGGACCCACAGTTATCAGGATGATCCTTTGTATTGGTATTTGTACTAGTGGAAAGAAATTCTATTTCCTGTGTTCAAATTAAAGACACACACACACACACACACACACACACAAATAGTAAAAGATTTCTGCTGCTTGAGGCTGTGAGGACAAGCATGCTTATGGGTTGTAAATGGAAAGGAGTAATCCCAAAGAAGTAGGATTGTGAAATGAGATTTCCAGATCTCAGGAATCTCTTTATTCCAATACTGAGGTTTGAATTCCCTAGGGAATATTAGGTTTCCACAGATGTTTATATATTAAAGAGAGGTTTTAAGATAAAGTATTCATTTATTGTAGAATTTTAAGCATTTTTAAAAAATTTTATTTTAGCGATACAAACCATGCATTTCATATATACAAATTTAAGAACATGGTCACTCTTCCCACCCTACCGTCCTTCCTGGTACACTCCCACAAAGCTTCCTCCCTCCCTATCCTATTTCCCGTATTATTTTTTACAAAGATTTATTTTCAGCTAACTTTACACTCTTAAGGTTAACCCTACACTAGGTAAAGAGTTGAAAAAATACTATAAATAAAAAAAAAATGTTCCTCAACAGTTAAGAGCTGTTCAAAAACATCTCATCTCAAAGTGTCACTTTTAGGATTACCTTTTAGGTACTCTATTAGTTACCACAAATCAGAGAGAACACATGGTATTTGTCTTTTGGGGACTGGCTTGTTTCACTAAGTATAATGATTTCCAGTTGTATCTATTTTGTTAAAATGACAGGAAGTCATTTTTTTAATTCTGTGTAGTATTCAATAATGTGCATATCCATTTATTTCTTTATCTAGTCTTCAGTTGATGGACATCTAGATTGATTCCATATCTTAGCTATTGTGAACTGAGCTGCAATAAGCATGGGTGTACAGATCACTCTTTCATCTGCTGATTTTTTATGTTCAGGTAAATTTCCATGAGTGTGATGACTGGGTCATACCGTAGGTCAGTTTGAGATTTCTGAGGTATCTCCATACTGTCTTCCACAGTGGATGCACCAGTTTGCGTTCCCACCAACAGTGGATTCAGGTACCTTTTCTCCCACATCTTCACCAGCATTTGTTACTTTGTTGATTTCTGAATGAAAGCCATTCTAACTGAGGTGTGGTTTTAATTTGCATTTCCCTGCTGCCTAGTGATTCTGAGCGTTTTTTCATATTTCTGTTGGCTATTTGGATTCAAGTCATTTGACCATT